AAGGAAGCGGCGGATGAAAGTGCAGACCACAAAGGGGCGAACGTGACGGCGAGGTATAAGTGACACCGAACTTGTAGGCGAAAGGTAAGGGAAGTAATAAGTGGCGACCAACTCGTGGGGCTTGAAGTCTCACTGAGAGCGAACGGTAAGGACTATAATACTATCACCTGTAGTTTCCGGTTCATCCCCCCTTTTTCCTTAAATGTAAGCCTTTATAGTAAGCTTACTGGCGCCCAGCATTAAGGTAATCCATATCCCGCAAACGGTTATTAACAACAACAACAAAAAGGGAACCAGAACCGGATAAGAAGGACGCAGCAGCAACCTGCAAACTCGGAGTAACAACAGGTGAGAGGGAACGGCTAGAGGAGCAGATGCAACCAGCAACCAAGGGGCCAAAAGGACGGTAAGAGAAGGAAGGTGGCACCAGCGTAACGGAATCGGAGTGAGCGGTTAGAATACGATAATGCGTTCCATGCCAAAAAAATACCCAAAAAAATTTATGTATAACGTTTATTCAAAGAAAATTATGTATACATTGTTAAGGAGCGTGAATCATATTCATCTTTTCTTCTATGCAGAATGAACCAACCTGGAATGCGAATTCAATTTGCAGGAAACAAAAAAGAAATAGAAATAATTAGTTTATTATTTATGATACATATTGTAGCGTGTTTAGTGTGTCACGCCACAAATAAGTTCACGCCGTTGTCCGATATAGCGGATTTATTCTGTTCGCTCACATTTTACACACACTTTACAAACATCTGCCCTTGCAGTGTTACAATCACTGCTTACAGTAACTCGGCCGACACTGGACTCTCTCCTCTGGCGGTTATTCTAGGACTGACCTCTAAGGTGGCTCGATCGCGACTGACTTCTTAGCCGGCTATTCCGAGACGTTCTTCTCCGAAGGCTGATCCGAGACTGAAGAATTCTCGTCGAAGCTGGGCTTTTATAACCTCGGCCGCTGCTAGGCAAATGCATCCTCTGTTATAACCATGGAGACTCCTGTTAGAACTACAATGGAGCAATTGTTGTTTCCTATGCAACGGTCTATTCTAGTGTTTCCATAGAAGCGTCTCTTCTGGATTCCAGACACGTTACAATATCTAATTCTTTTTTACTAGGACGCTGTCTAGAGACATTTGTTTTTGCCGACGCTTCAAAATTTGATGAAAATGCGACACAGCATTATCATTAAATAAATTTGTAGTGCGCATAGCCACTGCCTTATTAAGGTGATGATTCTCAATGTACGATGCAACAGTTTCCCATGCTTTCAGCATTTCTCTTATTGCGCCAAAAGATTGTTGCTTTGCTGTTACCTCCTCCTTCTTCAGGATAGTGCAAATCGTTGATGTAGACCGATTGTATGTGCTTGCTCGATCAGCCACACTCACACCTCGTTCTCGCTTTTCAATGATTTTACGTTTCATTTCTACGGTTATTTTTATTTTCTTATGGCTGTCTTTTTGCAGCTTTTTCTTCAGGGACATTTTTGCAAGGGTTATTAAACTTTGCACAAAACAAAATCACTAATAATATGTCTGAACACCAGTTTGAAAAAAATGTGTGATCACAAATGACACTAAGATGCTAGCAGAATGAGTGCTAAACACAGAGTGATGTAGCAAGCGCACGATCTGGGACTTCTCCTCTCGTCACTCATTATGTGAAACGTCGCTCGTTAAGCGAGTCATTTTTTACAATTTGTTTTGCTCGTTATGAGAGGTTCTTGTTAAGCGAGGTTCCACTGTATTTGGTTGGGCTTGCTATTGCCCCATTTAATGCTGCTGTATGACCATATAATGGAGTAACATTGCGATCCAGGATCACTTGCAATGTTACATGAATTTTTAGTAATTTTCTAGGTCTAGAGTAAATAGACAGCTCCATATGGTTTCTTTGTTCCCCCTCCTCCCATTTTGGAACAACCAAGATGGTGAAGGTCATAGTTTTGTTTCTAATGCATATTTGAAATACTGAAGTAATGGTCTGAGTCTTATTTATTTCTATTGTTATTGTTATTGTTGTACATAAGGAATTAAGGTTTAACTGTTATTAAATATATTTTGTAGACCCAGTCTTTTCTTGCTGAAATATAAGCTTGCACAACCCATTCCATGTGGGGAACACTGTGAACCTTGTGAACCATGGATAAATTCGGCTACTATCCCAAAATAGTAGTAGTAAATAGGTAGAAGATTGAAGGAGCTGCTAAATTTAGACCTTTATTTCCTGCATGGTACAATCATAATGTAGTTCATCACATCAATTAACTGAACATGGCTCTATATATGTACTATTTCATACTTTCCTTTGTTGCTTTTTAACTGCATGTAGTACCTGCTTGAAAAAAACAATGGAAGCACCAAAATTATTACAG